CACCATTGTTAGCCTAACTTTTGCAAATTAAAGGGGGTGGACCCTTAACCCCCAAATTATCCCGGCCCTCCGGGTGGGGGGGGGAAATTCTGGAAGTTGAAGTCCACCTGTCTTAAAGTTGCCAAGATTGAGGAACCTTGCCCTGGAAGACAGGACCTGGACCTGCCTCTTCTGCCAGACCTAATAGGATGGGTAGACATAATCGGGGCGAGGTGGTCCCTCAAATAACCAGTCCTATACTGTTATGCGCAACTCTAAAACAGAACCTCTCCAAAAGAAATACATCAGAAAAAAAGGAAATGGGGACACTGTTTCTGCCCACACCCATCCCTAAAACAAAAAGCAAAGCTCCAGGAGTGACTTCTATTCCCTCTGACATTCACAGCAGCTGGTTTGAAAATCATAACATGTTATTCCTTGCAACACTAAAGTAAATGATAAGAGGGGGAGGGGGAGGTATTTGAAAAAAAAAATCCTCTGTTTTGAGGGGGACATAGGAGGGTTACAAGTATGCAGATAGCAGAAAAACTCAGTGCAATAAGGAAAATTACTGCACAGTTTAAAGCAGAAACTTATTTTATTTTATTTTATTTTATTTTATTTTTGCTAAGGCTTATAAGCTGCTACAATCAGAAAATGACGCCAGGTTACTTACACTCTTGCCTCTAGTACAAGGATTGAAATACAAATAAATCAATAAACAATTAATAGGACAACAATAAAATCATGGTCATAGTCCATCATACAGCTATACTCATCATAATGCACAGCAATCACTTGGTGCTTCTTCTGTAGGAGCAACTCAACATTCACCCACCCCAAAGGCTCACTGAGTTAGGTCTTGGTTGCTTTCTGCAAGGATGAGTCAATCATTATCTCTAGGGGTGCTGTTCCTGGAAAGGAGGACACTGTGGGGACGCCTTGTCCTCATGATCCCTGACAGCAGCAACTACGGATTATACCACATCCCAAGTGCATTAAAATAATACCACGTAGATGCCTTCAGATGGACATGAAACTGAATTGGATTTCTCTGCTGAAAGCTTTTGCCAACAAGCTCAAGCCATAATTATCAATAAAAAAAATCACCATATGTAACCACCTCAGCAGAGCTGAATGAGATGCCACCATGGCATCAACAACAACAACATCATCATAATCAAACAACCTGACAAAGGAGTTGCCATTATGAATAAGGCGGATTAAGTCAAGGAAGCCTAGAAGCAACTGTCTAACACCACATTCTACCAACTTCTATCCTTGGATCCTACAGCAACATATCAGAAGGAACTATGCAATCTGATGAAGGAAATTCCTAGACATACAAGACTGTATCTGCATGGAGTCACCCCAGGAGCCTTGACCAGGCATCTTTTACCTACTTCCCCAAATACATAAACCAGGCAATGCAGACCATCTCTTGTCTCAAGCATTGCAGCTATCAGAGCTGGAATATCAGGTTCCATGGACTGTGTATTCAAACCTCTTCCCCTTTCTTCACTGCATGCCCACCTCATCCCAATTTAAATCCCTATCAGTTTAACCATTCCGTGCATCTGATAAAATGATCTGTAGCTCAACAAAGCTTATGCCTTTTAATAAAATCTGCTAGTCTGAAAAGCTGTTACCAGACTCCTGATTTTGGCTAGATTAGCATGGCTCTTCAATGTATCCAGATTCCCAGATGATCTCACTGAGCATGTAAATAGAAGAATATAAGAATAAGAAAATAAGAATAATGAGGAAGAAGGTGCAATCTATTGAAATGAATTATACAGAAGTATAATTGATATAATTGATTATATAATTGATATAATTGATTATAATTGATATAATTATACAGAAGTATAATTGATTTATAAATAATAAGCAATAATAAATGAATTGGAAACTGTAGTAGTCCAAAATTTGGGTGCTATATATGAGTACTGTTCCCATGTTAGTTTTATGCTACGTCAGCTGCATAATACTGGTTATATCTTTTAACAGAGTGGGACAAATTTGCTAGAATTTAATTTCTTTCAATTTCTCATTTTATTCACCTAACATTTGCCCTATCCAGTTTCTGCAAAAACATGCAGCCTTCCTTTAAAAACCCAGGAAATACACACATTAGCCTAATACTTGCAATCTCTGGCTATATGTTAAATACTCTTTAGAGACACTTCATGTTTTGGGGGTTTTTTGCAGATTTTTTTCCTTTTTATTATATTGTTATAAATCTTGATATATTGTATTGTTTCAATACAGTGATATTTATATGATATTGTTAAAGATTATTGACATTCTATTACTTAGATAGGTTAAAGTGTGATACTTAATATTTTGTGTGCTTCCCCTAATAAACATAATTTGGAAATATTCACTGAAATGCATACAGGTTTGTTTGAGAACTACATTATAAATGTGAATAGTAACTAACACTAACTAATAATTGTATCAGTATACACACCCAGTTTCTATACTGATAGTAAAGGATAAATTGTTTATTACTTAACTGAGACTAAAATAAATTTGTCTTCTGATTTTTACTTTTAAAGTCCTGAAATGCTTGAGAACAGATTCAGTTAGGTCTTGTTCCAAATGTAGCCATCTAAAAAACTTTGCACTTTAGGAACCCATCTCTAAATAACCGTATTCCTGGAGAGGATTCACTGGTGGAATTCCTGTAGTCTTACCAAGTACTCAGAGTACATCCCTTTGTTCACCCACACAAAACAAGGCAGATCAATGCTTTCCTCATTTCTTGTTGCACTGCCAAAACTAAGTGTTAAACTCACATGAAATAGAACCAGAAAATTTGTCTCAGCTAAGGGTGTCTGGATATCCTTCTCATTTAGAAGGACTGATGATCACCAAGA